GGGATGGGATGGGGTTTGGGATGGGATCCGTGGGATGGAATTTGGGATGGGATGGAATGTTTTGGGATGGGATCTATGGGATGGATGGGATGGGATTTGGGATGGGATCCTTTGGGATTTGGGATCCTTTGGGATTTGGGATCCTTTGGGATTTGGGATCCATGGAATGGGATTGGGATGGAATTTGGGATTTGGGATGGGATCCTTGGGAATTTTAGATGGATGGGATGGGGAATGGGATCCATGGGATTTGGGATTGGGATTGGGATGGGATCCATGGGATGGAATTTGGGATGGGATAGGATATTTTGGAATGGGATTTGGGATGGGATGGGATATTTTGGGATGGGATTGGGGATGGGATCCAAGGGGTGGGATGGGATTTAGGATGGGTTTGGGATTGGGAAAGGATCCATGGGATGGAATTTGGGATCGTATGGGGCGGGATAGGGTATTTTGGGATGGGATTTGGGATGGGATCCATGGGATTTGAGATTTGGGATGGGGTGAACCCTGCCCAACCCCAAATCCCTGATAAAACCCGGACTGCGGACCCCGTGCCGCTCCCGGGATTGGCTCTGGCGGCCAATCCCAAAATTCCTCTCCCGCCATTGCAGGTCCCGATCCCCTCTGCGGGGCTGCATTGGGATCACTCCGTTCCCGATCCCGGAAATCCCGATCCCGGAAATCCTGGAAATCCCGGAAATCCCGGTGATCCCGATCCCGATCCGGTCCGGGCGCTGCGCCGATCCGTGTCCAGCAGCATCGACGTCCCCGGCAGGTTCGTGATTCCCATCGAGAATTCCCGGGATTTCTCCACATTCCAAGGGATTATCCCGAGCGGGTCACATTTGGGATATTTTGGGAATTTTTTGGGCTTTTTTTTTTATTTTTTAGGATTTTTTAGGATTTTTCCCTTCTCATTTTTCCTTAAAAAAAATGAGATTTCTGTGATTTTTCTTCTCTTTTCCCAGGATGATTCCCGCCAGGAATTCCTGGAATTTCTCCACATTCCCGGGGATTATCCGCAGGGGGTCACATTTGGGGTTTTTTTTTGATTTTTTGGGAATTTTTGGGATTTTCCCCTCCCCATTTTCCTTAAAAAATGGGATTTCTGGGATTTTTCTCCTCTTTTCCCTCAGCCTTTCCCGTGGCCATTCCCACCAAGAATTCCCAGGATTTCTCCACATTTCCAGAGATTTTCTTGAGTGGGTCACGTTTGGGATTGTTTTGGGGATTTTTTTTTTTGTTTTTTTTTTGGATTTTCCTCTCCCCATTTTTCCTTAAAAAATGGGATTTCTGGGTTTTTTCTCCTCTTTTCCTGGGATGATTCCCACTGGAAATTCCCGGGATTTCTCCACATTCCCAGGATTATCCCGAGTGGGTCACATTTGGGATTTTTTGGGAATTTTTTGGGGATTTTTTTTGATTTTTCAGGATTTTTCTTTTATTTTTCTCCTGTCAGTTTTTCCTTAAAAAATGGGGTTTCTGGGATTTTTCTCCTCTTTTCCCTTGGTTTTTCCTGGGAATGATTCCCATTGGGAATTCCTGGGATTTCTCCACATTCCCAGGGATTATCTCAAGGGGGATCACATTTGGGAATTTTCGGGATTTTTTGGGGGGTTTTTGGGATTTTTTTGGGATTTTTTTGATTTTCCTGGGGTGATTCCCGATGATTATCCCAAGGGTGGTCACATTTGGGATATTTCGGGATTTTCCCAATGATTATCCCAGGCGTGGTTAATTTTGGGGGGTTTTTTGGGTTTTTCCCACTGAATTCCCACTGTTTTCCCATGGGTGGTCAATTTTGGGGTTTTTTGGGGATTTTCCCAGTGAATTCCCGCTGTTTTCCTGTGGGTGGTTAATTTTGGGATTTTTTCGGTATTTTCCACTGAATTCCCGTTGTTTTCCCATTTCCCACCCACGTGTGGTCAATTTTGGGGTTTTTTTTGGATTTTCCCACTGAATTCCCACTGGTGGTTAATTTTCGGGGTTTTTTTGGGATTTTCCTGCTGAATTCCCGCTGGTGGTTAATTTTAGGATTTTTTCGGGATTTTCCCACTGAATTCCCGCTGTTTTCCCGTTTCCCACCTGCTGGTGGTTAATTTTAGGATTTTTTTGGGATTTTCTCACTGAATTCCCGCTGTTTTCCCGCTGGTGGTTAATTTTGGGGTTTTTGGGGGGATTTTCCCACAGTTTTCCGACGGGTGGTTAATTTTGGGATTTTTTCGGGGTTTTCCCTTTGATTATCCCACAGTGATTAATTTTAGGATTTTTTTGGATTTTCCCGCTGAATTCCCACTGTTTTCCCAAGGGTGGTCAATTTTGGAGTTTTTTGGGGATTTTCCCGCTGAATTCCCGCTGTTTTCCCACGGGTGGTTAATTTTAGGATTTTTTGGGATTTCCCTGCTGAATTCCTGCTGTTTTCCTGTGGGTGGTTAATTTTAGGATTTTTCGAGATTTTCCCATTGAATTCCTGCTGTTTTCCCGTTCCCGCAGGCGCTCCGCGGCCCCGCTGGACGTGGACGAGATGGTGGCGGCGCTGGTGCTGACGAGCCTCTCCTGCAGCCCCGCCGTGCGCAGCCCCCGTGAGT